TTGGACCCGACTCATAGCGACCCCTCCTTGGGTTTCAGAGGCGGTATCACTATGGAAGTTGATTGCCCAACTTTCCTTCCGAGGAGTGGCCGGTGGGTTTGAACCACCAGCCTTCTGGTTAGCAGTCAAGTACCTTAGGCACTACACTACCAGAGCTTTCTTATATGATCTACAAACTAGTTTCTCTTAATATGTTCTGTTTATGCCATCTAATCTTAGAGTAGATATGAGAGGAAGTTTTTTTAAAAGAATTATTTCCTTAAGAGGAAGTGTAGTATGCAGACACAGAGTTACCTGAATAAATATAGTATAAAATGTTCTAATCATAGTATGTTAAAGATTTCTAGACTATATTACATGCTGTCAGAATAACTCCAAGAGAAAAGAAATTACATTATACAATAATTATCTTAACTTGTATATCCAACATATCTAAATTAAGGTTGAGCAATCTACTTTCACAGTGATACAGTCTTGGAAACCCAAGGAAGGGTTACTATGAGTCAGATCTAACTCGCCAGTAATGTGTTTGGTTTGGGCTTGTTTTATCTAAATTAAGGGATATATCTCTAATCAAGAAAAGAATATAGTACAAGAAAATATTCTAAAACAATTCTAATCATTTCAAGCATAGGTAATCATCATATAAATTAAAATTAAGAGTCATACCTATATGGATATCCATGATATTTAGATCTGAAAATAGAGAGCATCCAACTGAAGAATAATACGACGAGTCCAATACCAGCTACACACATTACTGGAGAAAAGCCAAGAGAAGAGTAAAATGAGCATGCAAATCCTACCAAGACACAAATCTTAGCCTATGTTTCCAACAGAAAAAAGCAGGGGCTATGATTTACTTATAAATCTCAACTTTGCAACAATTTTCTTCCATATTCTTTAATCTTCAGAAGTTTGCTTTCTCCTTTAATTTTCTCCATTACAATATAATAGAGTGGTTCCACTTATATATTTGTGCAATTAAATTGTAGGAATAATAAAATTTCTTTAAAGCCATCTCACTTAAGAATCAGAAGACTTTTACTACTAAAAGGAAAATCACAAATTAAACCACTGATTACTATGCTTCTTTTAAATCCTTATGAGGGGTTTTATTATTGATATCTGGTAAAATTACTGTGACAACCTCACTACACTTTATACATGTACAAGTAACCACACTGCCTTGTATGAGGAGTCATGCAACATGAATTCATTTGAATAAGGGGGGAAAAAACCTAACTCCTATCCAAAAATTCTTAACTATCTCTGCTAATCCCAGATGCTCTTATTCAGCACAGCAGTTAATAATCTTAACACCAGATGCTGACCCTACAGTGCTCAATTAAGGATTCCCATGACTTGAAGCTGTTTGAATACATGGACTAAGACTGTCTAAGGAGAATTCAAAACAAAACATAACATTGCTGCTGTAATTGGCTCCAATCATACCCACCCTATAGGACAGGGCAGAACCACCACCACAGGGAGCTCTGGTAGTGTTGTGCCTAAGGCATGTGACTACTAACCAGAAGGCTGGCTGTTCAAACCCACCAACCACTCCTTGGAAGGAAGACTGGGCGATCTACTTCCATAGTGATACCACTTCGGAAACCCAAGGAGGGGGTGCTATGAGTTGGATCAGTGAGTTTGGTTTTTGGTTTTAAATCTTTACATATGAAGTCTGTCATATCTTTCTCCTGTGGAGTAGTTGATGGGTCTAAACCTTCAACCTTATTATTAAGCAGAAATCACTTAACTACTATGTATCACCAGAGCTCCTGGTCTTAGTTCTTTAGCACTGCTATAACAGAAATACAACTGGATGCCTTTAAGAAAACAGGAATTTATTCTTTTACAGTTTAGGAGGTTAAAAGTCCAAAGACAGAGTGCCAGCACCAGGGGCAGGGTGAAGGCCCCTTGATCTTGGGCTTTGGCTCTGCCTCTTGTTCCAGATACACCAACAGCTGCTGAGGCTGACACATCCAAGATTGGCAGGTAAAATGGCACAATCCCAAGATCAGCAAGCACAATGCAGGCCAATGGTTCAAGTCAAGGAACAATACCAAGATTGGCAGGTAACATGGCAGGCCACTGGCTCAGGTCCAGGAGCTGGAGATGAGCACTTGGCCAAAGGATCAAATGTGCCAAATAAAATAAAATAAAAATCCAAACAAACCCCTAGAAACCTTTATCAAAACTTCATATATACTGGAAGCAGCCCTCATCCCAAAGGTATGCCCCCTTCAACTGATTAGGAGCTCACAGCAGATTCTACCATGGAGGTGATCACAATCTTATTATAGGTAGCAACAACATCAGGTTGCCAAGCCTCTCAAAACCAATCTACCCAAGCTGACAAACAACCTTAACTATCACACTCCTCTAAGGAACACACTAACCAAACCAAACCAAACTCACTGCTATTGATTTGATTGCTACTCATAGCAACCCCCTTTGGGTTTCCAAGGTCGTAAATCTTTACAGAAGTAGATTGCCCAGTCCTCCTTCCGTGGAGTGGCTGGTTGATTTGAACTGCCAATCTTCTGGTTAGTAGTCAAACACCTTAGGCACTATGGCACCAGAGCTCCTTTCTAAGGAGCACAGAGGTAAGGATATGGGAAATCATGTATGCTACAGTAATGGAAGCTTTAATGAAACATACTTACTGGCTGACATTAAAAACAACTTTAGTTTTGGTATATTTAAAGAAGCCAGTGGCAAAGCAGAACTGAGCACCATAGGATTTTGAAGGCTGTGACCTTTTGGAAGATAGCCAGGCCAATCTTTCAAAGCATCTCTGAGTGGGCACCAACCTTCTGATTAGTAGTCAAGCACATAAATGTTTGCACCATCCAGGGACTCCTTGTTATTCTTAGAAAAATTTTCCCCCCTCTCCTAATTTCACACAATATATGATCTATGACTAAAATGTAAATGTTAAACATATTTTTTTTCTGTGTATTAACACATATTCAGTGTAGAAAAAGTATATTAAAGCATCACTGTGTCTGGTGTTTTTGCTATTGTTAGGTGCCACTGAGTTGTCTCTGACTCATAGTGGCCCTAAGTACACCAGAACAAAACAGTGCACGGTCCTGTGCCAGCTCCATGATCCTTGAGCCCATTGTTGCAGCCGCTGTTCTCAATCCACCTTATTGAGGGCCTTCCCATTTTTCTTTGACCCTCTACTTTACCAAACATGTTATCTTTATCCAGAAGATGTTCACTTCTGACAACATGATCAAAGTAGGTGAAACGAAGTCTGGCCATTCTCACTTCCAAGGAGCATTCCAGCTGTACTTCTTCCAGGACAGATTTGTTAGTTCTCTCAGCATTCCAGGGTACTTTCAGCATTCTTTGCCAACAAAACTTAAAAGCATAAACTCTTCTTCAGTCTTCCTTGTTCACTGTTCAACTCTCACATGCATATGAGGCAACTAAAAATACCATGGCTTGGGTTAGGTGCACCTTAGTCTTCAAGGAGACATCTTTGCTCTTCAGTACAAGAAAGAGGTCTTTTGCAGATTTGCACATTGCAATACATCATCTAATTTCTTGACTGCTGCCTCCATTAGTGTTGATTGTCGAATCATGTAATATGAAGTTTTGAGAACATCAAACTTTTCTCCATTTATCATGCTGCTGCTTATTGGTCCAGTTGTGAGGATTTTTATTTTCTTTATACTGAGGTGTGATCCATACTGCAGACTGTAAATTAGGGTCCCCAGATTTGCCATTTTATCTTTGATGAACTTTATATTTTTGGGTTTTACATTTAAGTCTGATCCAGCTTGAGTTTGTTTTTGTGTATGGGGTGAATTATGGGTCTTGTTTCATTTTTCTGCAAGTGAATATCCAGTTTTGCCAGAACCATTTGTTAAAGAGGCTGTCTCTTCCCCCATTTAATGGGTTTTGGACCTTTGTCAAAGATCAGCTGTCCATAGATGGATGGTTCTATATCTGGACTTTTAATTCTGTATCATTGGTCTATCTGTCTATTATTGTACCAATACCATGTTGTTTTAACTACTGTGGCTGTATAGTAGTTCTTAAGATCTGGGAGTGTGAGACCTCCCACTTTGTTCTTTTTCAGAAGTGCTCTGCTTATTCGAGGTCTCTTTCCTTTCCATATGAAGTTAGTAATTGGTTTCTCCATGTCCATAAAAAATTGTTGGTATCTGGATTGCATTAAATGTGTAGATTGCTTTAGGTGGTACTGACATTTTCACAATATTCAGTCTACCTATCCACGAACAAGGCAGCTTCTTCCATTTATGTAATGCCCTTGTTGTCTATTGTAGTAGTGTTTTATAGTTTTCTTTGTATAGGTCTTTTGTGTTTCTGGTGAGGTTTATTCCAAGATACTTTATCTTTTTAGTAGCTGCTGTAAATGGTATTGTTTCCCTTATTTCTTTATCAGAGGACTTTTTGTTGGTGTAGAGGAATCCAAACTGATTTTTGAATGTTGACCTTGTATCCTGCCATTTTGCTGAAACTATTAGTTCCAGTAGTTTTTTTTTATTGAGTCCCTTGGGTTTTCTATGTACAGGATCATATCATCCACAAATAGAGATAGTTTTAGTTCCTCTTTGCCAATTTGTATGCCTTTTATTTCTCTTTCTTGCCTTATTGCCCTGTCCAGGACTTCCAAAGCATGCTAAATAGAAGTCGTGATAGAGGGCATCCCTGTCTGGATCCTATTCGTAAGGGGATGCCTTGAGTCTTTATCAATAATGATGTTGGCTGTTGGCTTTGCATATATGCCCTTTATTATGTTGAGGAATTTCCCTTCTATCCCTATTTTGCTGAGAGTTCTGAAAAGCAATGGGTGTTAGATTTTATCAAATGCCTCTTGTGCATCGATTGATAAAATCATATGGTTTTTTTCCTTTGTTTTGTTTATGTGGTAGATTACACTGATTGATTTTCTGATGTTGAACCATCCTTGCAATCCTGGTATGAAACCCACATTGGTCAGTGTATATTAATTTTTTGATATGTTGTTGGATTCTGTTGGCTAGGATTTTTTTCTTCTAAAGATATTTGCATCTATGTTCTTGAGGGATATTGGTCTGTAGTCTTCCTTTCTAGTGTTGTCTTTCTCTGGTTTTGGTATTAGTGTTACACTTGCTTCATAAAATGAGTTTGGAGTATTCCATCTTTTTCTTTGTTCTGGAATAGCTTGAGTCACATAGGTACCAACTCTTCTCTGAATATTTGGTAAAATTCTCCATTGAAGCCATCAGGGCCAGGACTTTTGTTTTAGGGAAATTTTTTTTATGACCTGCTCAATTTCTTCTTTTATTATAGGTCTGTTCAAGTCTTCTATCTCCAAGTGGGATTGATTAGGTAGGTATAGTGATTCTAGAAACTTGTCCAACTCTCATATCTGATGGAACAGTTTTTCACAATATTCTGTATCTTTTTAATTTCAGTTAGTCCTGTGGTGATGACACCCTTTTCGTTTACTATTCTTGTAATTTGCATCTTCTTTTATTTTGTTAGATTTACCAATGGTTTGTTGTTTTTTTTAATCTTTTTGAAGAACCAGCTTTTTGTTTTGTTGATTTTTTTTGTGTGTTCTGCTTTATTTATTTCTGCCCTCATCTTTATTATTTCCTTACTTCTAGATACTGTAGGATTCTGTTTCTAGTTGTTGGAGTTGATGAGTTAGAAGGCTGATTTTGTTTATTTCCTCATTTTTGATGCATGCATTTATTGCTATAAACTGTCCTGAGTACTGCTTTTGCTATG